ACCGAAGTGAAGGAGTATGACCCGGCCAAGATTTTCACTGGTGAAGTGCTCCGAGTCGGCTCGTACGCCGCGCAAAAGCCGTAATTCGTTCTAAAACTTTTCTTTCCGCTGATCGTTAATTTTCAAGGCTTGAATTTTAGGCCCTACCATCAGAAAAATCCATTTATGGCCCGGGTCATTTGTAACCGCGAGCTGAACCTTAGCGGAAGCAGAAGTGTGAGACATATTGAATTTGACCTCACTGGGTCCAGGTTAAGGTTGGTATAGTTTTTAAAATTAGAACGACGAGTTTGCCCCGTGTTTTTCATGATTAATTAGACAGTAGAATAAGCCAAGTAATTAATCAGCTCCACCTTTCAGAAAATTAATTTGTTTTTTTTTCAGATACTTATTTCTCATTTCTTGCTCTCAGTGCTCAGCTAACAGCGTGGAATATTGAGGCTGATTTCCATACTATGATTGCTGTTGGTTCCGGTTAGAATCCATGATACCCCTTACCGTTCTCATCGGGATCCGTCGCCTACTTCGCTCTAGCCACGTTGTTTGAGAATAACATCCTTTCTCTGACTGACACAAGCGCATAAACTCTGGCGGAAAAATTCGAAAGGACTGTTTTTGGGGGCATATTGACGATAAGGCAATGTTAAGTGAAGCTATGTCAAAAGGGGCTATAGTTTCGCATCTGTTTACCTCAAAATCATCAGAGGTTCACCGATACAGGAAATTGCCACTGCTGAACCATATATAGGAAGCCGCTGAGCATCATCATAGGTTTTTCAGTGGCTGACAAGAGATCCGCATGGCTATCTATGAATGGCCGGATATGAGCCCATCTCGTGACTGAAAAAACTAAGCACTTGTCCGTTGCCGATCGTATCGTTTCTTGGTAAACGGTTCATAATATTGAAGTGCTGTAAGTTATGCGTCGTCTTCTGTCTTATAGGTGAGAGAGAGGGGTTTGGCTTGTAACTGTATTTTAACGTCCAGAAGTTTTAACCTATGGATTTTCCCCGCAGTAGCATTCTTCTGGCCATCAGTTTTGCTGCCGTCATTCTTTCACAGCAGGCATTCGAAAGTAACGTATTGGATGGTTTAATCTTCACGGCTGCAGTCTCAAATGCAGGCTATTTCAGGATTTTATTTCAAATGATTAAATTGGTGTTTACAGCGCCCATGTACTGTCTGAAACCAATTCATTTTACCGTTTTTGATGAGCCAAGTTTATGCAGTGGGTCTCGACGTGTTGATGACGACTTTTTGTGAGCAATTGTTGCGTCCCATTCTGCTCGTCACTGTTTCTTAAAAAATCAGTCGTGACACCGTCGTAGCATGAGTTGGGGCATTGTGGCAGCTATTTGAGGATACGGTAGATGGAGAGACGGTATGAATGTTAAGTTGCTGTGATAATTGTGAACTGCTATTTCAGAGTACCAATCAGTTTTTTACCCTGTTTTCCGACTCTTTGTTCCGTTTGTTTGGTCCTGGAAGTCTCAAAAACTGGAACCAGGGAATTGTCCCGATTTACCATTAAGAATCTTTATTTTTCAATTGCCTGAATCTGATTTGCGCCAGTAGTACTGTTCAGCATCACCATGTAAATCACACCGGGACATACGGCAGTGTCGCAACTCCGCTTTGCTTGTAGTCCGTGGTTGTTAAGTCGATAGAACTAGGGTCTTGGAAATGAGAGGTGCCGGATTCGATTCCCGGTTGAGTCATTCGCCTTTCTTTTTTTCGAGGTTGATAAATGAGTACCGCTCTCCGGGAATGAAACAGGAGACTACACATAATGCTATTGCCACGTGGCTGTTGTCGGCTTTTCCTTTAAAAAATTATGATTCACCTCTGGCTTATTTCTTGGAAATAGAGATTAGCCCTTACCATTAACGGCATGAATAGAAGAGCGCCACAAATTGCAAACTTTCTCTCTTTCTCCTTCCTTTGTTGTAAAACCATGCATGACAATTTCAACATGCAATATACCGTGATGTTTAAACACCTGCAGTGTATAAATTGGAAACCGCATCTTTAAGTTGAGCCGAGGAAAGGCGCGTTAATAGATTGACGGGAGGTTTTCACTCTAATAAAATACATGCTTCTTACCATAGAAGTGTTAGTAACCCAGAATGATTACAAAAAAGACCTTCAGTGCGCAATCGTTTAGAGCTGGTTTGCATACATACTACCGTATTAAATGATTCATAAGTCAGATTCATTCACACAGATTCATTTTCTGGAGTTGTCTTTTGTTTATAACAGACGTTCTTCGCAGTTGTTCTTCGCGATTAGAGTCAAATGCTAAACTGATTTGAGTTCCGAGTAGCCGTTACCAAATTTTCAATGCCCTTTCATTTTCTGACTATTTTTACATGGACTTCTTCTTTTACGAACACTTGTTCAGATACGAAGCTGGCGACCACCTTGCTATTCATCCAGAGAACGACACTGACCTCGTGAATGAGTTCGGCGAGCTGCTGAATACTAACCTTGATGACGTCATATCTCTGGACTGCACTGACGGTACAAGTTAATGAAGTACGCGAGTTGTCTTAATCAAGAATTACAGAGTATAGCAACCGGAAGCATCCGTTTCCAGTGCCGTGTTCGTATCGAACCGCACTCACCTACTACGCTGATATCGCTTCGTTACCAAAAACCAACGTTCTTTTTGCAATAGCCGAGTACTGCTCAAACCATGAGGAGAAAGAGTTTCTCTTGAAGCTAAGTTCGGTGGACGAAGAAGGCAGAGTTAGGCACGGCGTTTGGTTTGTATGAAATAAGAGTCGAGTTTAGAAACTGTATTCCTCTTGGGTCTGGACGGATCATCGAACAATCCTTGATATCTTGCACGATCTTCCGAGCTGTAGGCCGCCGTTGGATCTTCTCCTGGAATTACTTCCGAGGCTACAGCCTCGTTATTATTCGATAAGTTCCTCGCCTAAAGTCGATGCAAACGTCGTGTCCATCACGGCAGCTGTTCTCCAGTATACTACGCCGTTGGGGCGAGTTTGCAAAGGTGTGGCGACCAACTACTTAGCGTCCAAAATACCGTGTCAAGATACGGTTCCGAAGGTGAATATTAAATAGACAGTATCAAACGTCGTTCCTTTCCGTTTGTAAATTATTTATTTACTCCAGGTGCCAATATTTGTTCGAAGGTCGCAAATACGATTGCCCTACACGCCTTCCGTACCGGTTTTGATGATTGGTCCTGGAACGGGCTTTGCTCCCTTCCGCGGTTTTATTCAGGAACGAATCGCCCTTTCAGATTTAGGTAACCGAATTGGCTTTAGTTTTTCTAGGGGCCCGTGGGCTTATATTATTGTGATTGATTGCTGACTATTTGATATGCAGGCAAAATCGTCGGTGCTAACGTTCTGTACTTCGGCTGCCAGCGTCGAACAGATGGATATCTCTATAAAGACGAACTGGAAACTTGGAACGAAAACGGGAACTTGACCGAATTTCACGTCGCCTTTTCACGGGAGCAACAGCATAAAATTTACGTGCAGCACCTCTTGATGAAAAATAAATCCAGTGTATGGAGCACCGTGCGTTCAGGGGCACATGTTTATGTTTGTGGGTACGTATATTTTTCTTTTACGGTGCTACGTGTACAC